TTGTCTCTTAAAAGCTCATCTTCTTTCGATGATTTTGGTGCAATCTACATCCGTGTGATGTACAGTAGTGTTGGTCATCTCCATCTAGCAGCTGACGTGCACTCTACTTTGTTCAATGTTATCCCACTAGAACATGTGCATGAGAAACCTGCAGAAACCTGCAAGGGGGCCCCAAGGTTTGACTGCCTAGTGGCTCTCACAGAGTTTAATCTGGCACTGTTAGGATGGGCAGAGTAGGCACCAGCCTATGGACCCCATGCCATTTGAAGGGCCTTGTGACAAAGGATCAAAATAATATTGATTTGATCTTGAAAGAAAATCACAATGGAGCTTTTTTAAATTGTTTACAAAAGATAGAAAAATTAACAAAACGAATAAAAAAAAATTTACATTAACCACTTGCCGCCCTGCCACTGTAGAAATACGGCGGCAGGGCGGCACTGGCAGGCAAAACAACGTTTTAAAACGCGTGTTTTGTAAACAGATAGGGGGCGCGCGCGAGGCGCGCCGCCGCCCTATCTGTCCCGCCGATCACCGCCGCGGATGTCAGTCGCCGGGTCACAGCCGGTCTTTACTGGCTGTTTCCCGGCGATCGGCGGCAAACAGTGACAGACAGCACAGCTGCAGTAGCTGTGCTGTCTGTCACTTCCCTGACAGCTCGAGGACGAGCTGATCGAGAAAGAAGAGTTTCTCTCTCTCGATCAGCCTTGTCCCGTCCAGCACACCCCCGCCCCCTAGTAAAACACTCCCCTCACTCAGATAACCCTTCCCTGCAAAATAAAGTTAACCCCTTCCTCCCCAGTGCCATTAGTACAGTGTCAGTGTTTTTCTTTTTGCACTGATCACTGTATTAGTGTTTTTGGGGATGTCAGTGACCCCAAGTCAGTACCCCCCAATGTCAGAATGTCTGCCGCAGTCCCGCAGTCCCGCCATAAGTCGCTGGTTGCTGCCATAAGTCACTGATCGCCGCCATAAGTCGCTGATCGCCGCCATTATTAGTATAAAAAAAAAACTAAAAATCCCAGTATCTTTCCCGCCATTTGTAAACGCTATAACTTTCACGTAAACCAATTAATTTACACGTATTGGGGTTTTTTTTTAGCAAAGACATGTCGTAGAATGCATTTTGGCAGAAATTTATGACTAAATTTGATTTTTGCATTTTTTTTTACTGGAAATGTTTTATAGCAAAAAGTCCAAAATATTGTTTTTTTTTCCTAAAAATTGTCAGCCTTTTTTTTTATAGCGCAAAAAATAAAAACCGCACAGGCAATAAAATACCATCAATAGAAAGCTCAATTTGTGGGGAAAAAAAGTATGTAAATTTCATTTTTGTACCGTATTGCATGACCGTGCAATTGTCCGTTAAACTAGCGCAGCGCTGTATAGCAGAAAAATGGCGTAAATTGCAGTATCCATACCATAGTTTGTAGACGCTATAACTTCCACACAAAGCAATATACACTCATTGGGATTTTTTTTACCAAAAACATGGAGCAGAATACATTTTAGCCTAAATTTATAACCAACTTTGAGTTTACTATATATTTTTTATAGCTGAAAGTAAAAAATATTGTTTTTCTTCAAAATGTTTGGCTTTTTTTTGTTTATAGCGTGAAAAATAAAAAGCGCACGGGTGATCAAATACACCGAAAGAAAGCTCTATTTGTGTGAAAAAAGGATGTAAATTTCGTTTGGGTGCAGCATTGCATGACCGCGCAATTATCAGTTGAATTAGTGCAGCGCCGAGTAGCAAAAAGAGGCCTGGTCATTAAGGGGGGTAAATCCTCAGGTGCTCAAGTGGTTAAAGACTATATAAACAATACTGTATAAATATAATGTACCCAATAACAACTTAAGTCTAGAAACCATTGACATCACGTTCACATTACATTGTCTCTTAACAGCTCATCCTTCGGCTGGAAGGTGGAAAAGCTTTTGGTGCAATCTATGTCCAGTAGTGATGGTCATCTCCATCTATCAGCTGATGTCCATTGTTCAATGTTATCCCACTACAGCATGTGCATGAGAAGCCTCCAGAAACCTGTGACAGGGCCCCAAGATTTTTGACTGCCTGGGAGCCTTCACAGGGTTTAATCTGGCACTGTTAGGATGGAAGAGATTTAGATTGACTAATTGTCCTGTCGGAAGGCAGGAGAACTCCTAAACTTGTCAGTTGTTAAGCAAAGTTAAACCTCCACAGTCTACAATAAAACCTGGCAGAGGGTTCAACCTGTCCCCACTTTTGGAGTTTCACTTTAAATTCCACATTTTTGCCAAGACGGCCATGAACTGCCTAGTACACTATGGATGGATGTGATAAAAGTGTTGAATACTTTCCATGACCTCCTACTACGCCTAACACTTCAGAGACACTTCAAAGTGGAGCACCTGCCTAAAGGCTGCCTGAAGCAACATCGTGCGAAGCTGAGAGTAACGTGTGACTGCTGATGCTGGTATTAAATTCCTTTCCTAAAATGCCCTTAAAAAGAATCCTATACTGAGGAGGTTTGGAGGCTGCCATTGCTGACCTCTCTTTTTGAAAATATTAATCCCCTGGCTAATGATACCAATCCAATGGCTTCACAGCTTTCGGAGTCACTTAGCATACCCTTTCCCTTTAACCATTTGTCTACCGGCCCAATTCTGACATTTTTCTAAATTTTATTTATTTTTTTAATTATTTTTACACTGTATTTTTTTTAATCACTTTTATTGCTATCAGAAGGGATGAACAACATCCACAAGTCCTCTTTATGGAGTGATCTGTTGGACCCCAGATCTCGCCTCTGGCCTCCAATGCAGCCGAACAGACACAGATTAGTCTGATCGGCTGCTTCACTGGCCAGTAAACACGGGACCAAAACTGGAAGCGATAAAATCCTCATTGCTTCTGGTTTCTGACGTCACACAGTGAGAGGAACAGCATCAGTTCATCCCACTGTGTCCGGGGGAGCCGATGCTGACAGTCACATCTTTATCAGGCTCCCTGATTGCACGGGAGAGTCCGGTAAAGGCAGTGGGAGGGCGGTGGGACCCCCTTTTCGCCACATGCGATAGTAATTAAGCAGCTGCATAGCCACTCAGATTACTCTTACATAAAAGAGAATTGCCGGCACTGTAGCCTCAACCATGATCCCAGTATAACTGCTTCAATACCAGGCCATATATATATATATATATATATATATATATATATATACATACATACATATACACACACATACATACATACAAATACATACATACAGCAGTATCGAGGCAGTTAAAGCAGATCTAAACCCATCAATTTAAAAAACAGTTACATTCCTGGCATGCCATGAATGCTAACTGTCACATTTGCTTGTGCTCTCAACCAAACTGTCAAATCATCAAATGACTGGTGTCATAACTGATCACATGTGTAGCACCCTGTCAGTTGTAGATCAAGCAGAGGTTAAAGCGTTATTAAACCCACAACAGTAATATCAGTCTGTAAATGCAGTAAAGCCTACTTGTTATGCTCACTGTGGAACCAAAGGGGTTAATCCTCTGCATTGTGTAAAAATGCAGTTTGATCCTGTCTTCTCTGATCCTCCCCTTCTTCTAGTGTCCCCTCTTATCTCCTGATAAGACATTATCACGTAGAGACACTGTGTTCAGTGTATTGCTAGAGAGGGGTTTTTCTTTTCTTGGAAGAGTGCATGTGATCAGCACTGGGCCAATCAGCACTGTCCAGACAGCGGTCAGAGGTTCTGCATCCTCCTACAGCAGATTGAAAACTCCTCCTACATGCTTTAACCAGTGCTCTGCTGAACACTGATAGAAGTCACAAGACTGCTCTAACTGCTGATGAGAAAAGGTATTTAGTGGTTTATATTTACTAAAATAATTTTCATGTTGTGTGTACTGTGGGAGACCAGATATAGTGAATGCAGGGTCCGGGGAGACCAGATATAGTGGATGCAGGGTCTGGGGGAGACCAGATATAGTGAATGCAGGGTCCTGGGAGACCAGATATAGTGAATACAGGGTCCAGGGAGACCAGATATAGTGAATGCAGGGTCCGGGGAGACCAGATATAGTGAATGCAGGGTCCTGGGAGACCAGATATAGTGAATACAGGGTCCAGGGAGACCAGATATAGTGAATGCAGGGTCCGGGGAGACCAGATATAGTGAATGCAGGGTCCAGGGAGACCAGATATAGTGAATACAGGGTCCGGGGAGAGCAGATATAGGGAATTCAGGGTCCGGGGAGAGCTGATATAGTGAATGCAGGGTCCGGGGAGACCAGATATAGTGAATGCAGGGTCCTGGAGAGACCAGATATAGTGGATGCAGGGTCCGGGGAGACCAGATATAGTGAATGCAGGGTCCGGGGAAACCAGATATAGTGAATGCAGGGTCCGGGGAGACCAGATATAGTGTCAGGGTCCAGGGAGACCAGGTGAATGCAGGGTCCTGGGAGATATATAGTGAATGCAGGGTCCGGGTCCGGGGAGACCAGATATAGTGAATGCAGGGTCCGGGGAGACCAGATATAGTGAATGCAGGGTCCTGGGAATGACCAGATATAGTGAATGCAGGGTCCGGGGAGACCAGATATAGTGAATGCAGGGTCCTGGGGAGACCAGATATAGTGAATGCAGGGTCCGGGGAGACCAGATATAGTGAATGCAGGGTCCGGGAGAGACCAGATATAGTGAATGCAGGGTCCGGGGAGACCAGATATAGTGAATGCAGGGTCCGGGGAGACCAGATATAGTGAATGCAGGGTCCAGGGAGACCAGATATAGTGAATGTAGGGTCCTGGGAGAGCTGATATAGTGAATGCAGGGTCCGGGGAGACCAGATATAGTGAATGCAGGGTCCTGGGAGACCAGATATAGTGAATGCAGGGTCCGGGGAGACCAGATATAGTGAATGCAGGGTCCGGGGAGACCAGATATAGTGAATGCAGGGTCCGGGGAAACCAGATATAGTGAATGCAGGGTCCTGGGAGACCAGATATAGTGAATGCAGGGTCCAGGGAGACCAGATATAGTGAATGAGGGTCCTGGGAGACCAGATATAGTGAAGGGTGGGGAGACCAGGTGAATGCCTGGTCCGGGGAGACCAGATATAGTGAATGCAGGGTCCGGGGAGACCAGATATAGTGAATGCAGGGTCCGGGGAGACCAGATGTGGCAGGGTCCGGGGAAACCAGATATAGTGAATGCAGGGTCCTGGGAGACCAGATATAGTGAATGCAGGGTCCGGGGAGACCAGATATAGTGAATGCAGGGTCCGGGGAGACCAGATATAGTGAATGCAGGGTCCGGGGAGAACCAGATATAGTGAATGCAGGGTCCTGGGAGACCAGATATAGTGAATGCAGGGTCCTGGGAGACCAGATATAGTGAATGCAGGGTCCTGGGAGACCTGATATAGTGAATGCAGGGTCCGGGGAGACCAGATATAGTGAATGCAGGGTCCTGGGAGACCAGATATAGTGAATGCAGGGTCCGGGGAGACCAGATATAGTGAATGCAGGGTCCGGGGAGACCAGATATAGTGAATGCAGGGTCCGGGGAAACCAGATATAGTGAATGCAGGGTCCTGGGAGACAGGGGTCCGGGGAGACCAGATATAGTGAATGCAGGGTCCTGGGAGAGCAGATATAGTGAATGCAGGGTCCTGGGAGACCAGATATAGTGAATGCAGGGTCCGGGGAAACCAGATAAATGCAGGGTCTGGGAGACCAGATATAGGGTTTAGGGTCCAGGGAACAGATATAAATGCAGGGTCCTATATAGTTCAAACCAAAAATGCTTTATAATTCACTTTAAAAAGCAAACAAAAAAATGCTCCCCCATCTATCCATGTCTCCATGTTGCTTACAAATCACTTTGAACCCCCCTAGCAGTTCTGGCTGTGGTCATCTGGAGTAAGGGCGGATGATTCATGCAGAATTTACTTCCTGTCAGTCTATATATGCAGTAACACATGCTTGTTATGCTCAATATGGAACCTAAGGGGTTAATCCTCTGCATTGTGTAAAAAGTATGTTTGATCCTGTCTTCTCTGATCCTCCCCTTCTATTGTCCCCAATCCATCTGCTAATAGAACAGGGCTTTGGCGGCAAGCTGCACATGCTCAGCTTGGGGTGTATTGCTAGAGAGGTTTTTTTTTATCTTGGAAGAGTGCATATGATCAGCACAGGGCCAATCAGCACTATCCAGACAGAGGGTCAGGGGTTATGCAGCCTCACAGGACAATCAGGGGAGAATGAAAACTTATCCTACAAAGCTCTAACCAGTGCTCTGTGGGACACTGATAGAAGTCACAAGACTGCTCTAACTGCTGATGAGAAAAGGTATTTAGTAGTTTATATTTACTACAATAATTTCATTTCCATGTTCTGTGTACTGTGGGAGACCAGATATAGTGAATGCAGGGTCCGGGGAGACCAGATATAGTGAATGCAGGGTCCGGGGAGACCAGATATAGTGAATGCAGGGTCCGGGGAGACCAGATGTAGTGAATGCAGGGTCCAGGGAGACCAGATATAGTGAATGCAGGGTCCGGGGAGACCAGATATAGTGAATGCAGGGTCCGGGGAGACCAGATATAGTGAATGCAGGGTCCAGGGAGACCAGATATAGTGAATGCAGGGTCCGGGGAGACAAGATATAGTGAATGCAGGGTCCGGGAGACCAGATATAGTGAATGCAGGGTCCGGGGAGACCAGATATAGTGAATGCAGGGTCCAGGGAGACCAGATATAGTGAATGCAGGGTCCGGGGAGACCAGATATAGTGAATGCAGGGTCCGGGGAGACCTGCCTTTAGTAACACTTTAAAGTGATACTAAAGTCTTTGTTAATTTTTAAGAAAAAAAAACCCAACATGTTTTCACTTACCTGCTGTGTGCAGTGGGTTTGCATAGAGCAGCCCAGATCCTCCTCTTCTAAGGTCCGCAGGCGGTCTTGGTCCCTCCTGTCAGGTGCCCCCATAGCAAACAGCTTGCTATGGGGGCACCTGAGCAGGCACACTCCCGAGTCATGCCACTGCATGTCCATTCACACACAGAGCCACGGCTCAGACCCACCCCCTCCCTCTCCTGGTTGATTCACTGGCTGTGATTGACAGATCCAATATCTTCTGCTGCTGTCTAAGCCAATCAGGAGTGAAAGTCCCCAGAGAACTGAGGCTCTCGTGTACATCGCTGGATCAAGGTAAGTGTTGATATGGGGAGGGGGCTGCTACACACAGAAGTTTTTTTTGCCTTCATGCACAGAATGCAAGAAGGTAAAAGACCTTTTAGACCTTAGAACCACTTTAAGATAGCAGCTTCCATGCTTTAAAAGGATAGAGGGTTCGATAGGGGGTTTAGTTCGACTTTAACTCATAAATGCAAAATGCAGACCAAAACTGGGACAATGTCAGTATGATGTCCTAGGTCTCCTACAGTAATTCCTAGATACAACCTATACCCAGATTATTTTGCTCTGTAATTGCCTATTGAGATTTGATACTGTTCTTACTTTCTGTAATCGCTTTGCATTCTGATATGTAAGACTGGATGTTAAATTTTGTCCCACCTTTGTCGGATTTAATAAAGAATTCATAAAAAAAAAAACGAGGACTAACTTCACTTTTCTGTCTGGATGTTTGTTTCAGATCAGTGTCTCCATAAGCGCTGCACACATAGCCAGGTAGCCAGATGACTAGCATTATCAGAAGAAGGTAATCAATGGCAGCCCCTGCAGTGCTCTCAGTACCAGGGTCGGACTGACCATTTGGAAACTCGGGCAATGCCTGAGGGCCCGGGGTCAGAAGGGGGCCCCATGAGATGCCCCTGGTACCTTTTTCATAGGCTTTTTTGAGTTTGGGCAAGGACACAGGGGCCCCATGATCCCCTATCGCCTGGGGGCCCCATGAGTTGTCAGTCCGCCCCTGCTCAGTACAGTTTTCCATATTCATTTAGGTGACAAAATACAACAAAGAAGAACTTCACTCTGCTTTGAAAAATTAAAAGTCACCAACTACAAAATACTCTAGATGCTGATTTTGAAGAAACAAATATATACCAGCCCATGGAGTCCAGTGCTTTCTTCCCTGCAGTTGATTCTTCCTAGGACTGTGGATTCTCGGTGCCACCATCTTGGATTTGGGAGCTGGCTGTGACTTCCTGAGGATTTACACCCGGCTCCCCAATGCGCATGCGGTGCAGGAAGACTGGTCCTGCAGCCTCCTGGGATGTGTGATGTCAACCAAGGAGGCTGTGGGTGGGAAGTGGGACTGGGTATATAAGTTCCAGTCACAAAAAGGTGCTCCCTGAAAAGGGAAAAAACTAAGTTTTTTAGAGGTGGGGGAGAAGATGTGGAATAGAACTTTAATTTTTCAGTGAAGGTCTGCTTTAAAGGGAAACAATCGCCCAACAGGATCCTGCCAATTTAAGTAAAGCTTCTTCCCTGCACTTGGAGAAACCTGAACCCCAGGGGCACACTGCCATTATCCTTAACTCCAAAGTAGGGGTAGGCACCTGCAACAAAAAGGTACCCACTTCCCAAAAAAAGAAAAAACCCTAAAAGTGTGTTAGAGGTGGAGAATGGGAAGAAGAAGATTGGCTGTAGTCCTGAAGTGACAAAACGCAGCTACATTTTTACCTGACTACCTACAAATATGGATCTTAAAATAGATGTAATATGATAGGAAGAAACAGAACAAGGAGCCAATCAATAATGTGCTGACAAGGACCATACTGATAGGAGAAGAGAACAGAGTGATGGAGAGATGACACCACTGACGTTCACTGCCCAGTCACTGCCAGCTCAGTGGATTGCTTCAAAAAAGTCCTGGATTGTTTCTTAGACACACAGAATATAACTGGATATAACATTTATAGGTAAAGTTGATCCAGGGAATATCTGATTGCCTCTCGGGGGATCAGGAAGGAATTTTTACCCTAGATTGGATCATGCTTTGCTGGGTTTTTTGCCTTCCTCTGGATCAACTGTGGGTATAGGATTATACGTTTTTTTTTTTCTATGGTTGAACTGAACGGACTTTTGTCTTTTTTCAGCCAGACAAACTATATAACTATGTTACATGTTGTGATCCCTGACGACGTGGGATCAGAGGAAGTAGGTTAAATGATGTTCAGGATCATACTGGGGACATCTTGTGCAGGAAAAGAAGTACTGCAGAGAAATATTTGTTTTTAAGGTGAATTTTGCAACAAACATTTGCCTTTTATATTATAATGTAATGGGCTATAATATTTTGTTTTATCTTGTCAGGAGCTCTGCTTTAAGCTTGACAGTCCTAAAGAAATTCCATATTTATTATGTATGTGATAAATTCCCACTGGAATAATAGGCACTCAGTCTAAACCTTTGTATGAATATTTTATTGTGACTCACACATCACTAAATTACTGAACTTTAAAACAAGTGTAAAATAAATCACAACCTCCCGTTGGATTTATTATTATGAAAAATTAATCACTATCAGTATTTTTTATAAGGTAGATATTTCTCATTTTGGATTGGGGAATATTTCCCTTTATTAACTGTGTCACTACAAACTGGGCGTGTTTAATAAGGGACTCCAGTGCAGTTAGCAAGTGGGATGCATTCTTTGAAAAGGAAATGTACGATCGCAAAATATAACAGGTTAGTAGTAAAGAGAATGTGTGCGTTTTCTCATTTAGAGCAGGTAAGAGATTCACTGGACTGCGCCATCCCCCCCTTTGCAAGTACTTACCCTCTACTTGCTACCCTTGTCACATTCAGCAGCATTGCATTGTGGGATTAAAGGAAGAGAATCACGTGCTCCTCCATACCCAGTCCCTGGTATTTTACGGGAGATCATAGTAGTAAGGGGAATGCAGTGATGGTAAGTAGCGAAAGGGGTGGGTTATGAAGCTTAGATTTTTGAAAAGTCAGTAATAGCAGCTGACATGTCCACAGCTTCTTACAGTTGGAATAATAGGAAAGAAGGAGCGCCCGATGTCCTTCAAATACCTTCCAAGTAAGGGAAATACTCCCAGACAGCTGTCACCTCCAGTGTCCCCAGTGGAAAACTTCCCATATATACTTCTTCCAAGGACACTTGAAAATGTTTGGATCTTCCCATCACCAGAATATTTAGAGAGGCTTGAATTTCTCGAGTGGGAACAAAGACAGCAATAAAAATCTGATAAGGCTGTTAACCCTACCCTACTATATTAAACAAAAACAAAAAAAGCTTTGTCTTTACATGTAGCGCACCCCCTAAGGAGCTCCTGGTGAACTTGGTCCCATTCCCCCAGTTAAAACACATACAGCCAGGCGCACAGCATTTTCTTCACTTCTAGGGGTGTCTTTTTAGGGTTTTATTTGAATGATGAACTGAGATGGGGTGAGGGAAGCATGGGATACCCCAATAACTGGTGAACTGAAAACATTGAGGACTCCTTACTATCTGGCTGAACCATACAAATATTTCCC